ATATTTTTTCCTAATTGTCGGCATAAATGAATGCAAAGGTTCCTCATCCAGTCCAATTATGTGGTTGAGGCGGTGTGGATTTCAGCGATACCGCCAGGATGTGCATGGACGGAGCGTTCATCGGTGATGTGCTTGATGGTTTGGACTTCTCCACAGTTCGCAGTTGGGCGATTCTTTGATCTTCCATTTATGGAACGTGCACGCGCATCTGCCGTGTTGTGTTCGATCGCGGTTCAGTGTAGTCGTCGTGGAAGAGAGAATCCCGGTAATTCCACCGTCAGATCGTGACAATGACAATGATGGTGCAATTCTATACAGCGATCATTGAATCCATCCTCACCTCCTCCATAACCGGCTGGTACGCTGCTGCCACTGCCAAGGACAAGAGCAGACTGCAGCGTATCATCCACACTGCTGAGAAGGTAATTGCCTGCAATCTACCAACCCTCGAGGACCTGCACACGACAAGGTCCATGAGGCGAGCGAGGAAGATTATGGCCGATTTCTCCCACCCTGGACACTCTCTGTTTCAGCTACTCCCCTCCGGCAGAAGGCTTCGGTCCATCAGGACCAAAACCTCACGCCATAAAAACAGTTTCTTCCCATCTGCTGCTGGCCTGTTAAACAAGGCCAAGGGCTAACACTGTTTTTAACATTTGATCTACATAACGACACCTTGCCGATATTAACTATGTTACCCTATTTGTATTTTTTATTTTTAAATGATATCTTAAAGATATTTTATATTCGATATTTATTTAATTTTATATACTTCAGCCCCTTGGTGTTAGACTTTTAACCCTTATTATAGTAAGACTTGTTTAAAACTTATTTAAGATTTTAGATTCCTATTTGTTGAATGTATGCACCATCCTGCCAAAGTAAATTCCGTGTCGGTGTGAACTTACATGGCGAATAAAACCCTTTCTGATTCTGATTCTGAATGATGTTTTTTGTTTTGCCACGTCCATAGCTGCCCACTATTCAGAGCCACCGAGTGGCGGTGTCTTTATTTGCGGCTGCTAGAGCGGAAGGCGCGTATCCAGAACGGTTTCCATGGATTTTATCCTTGGGCGTGGGGGTTCCTTTAGGTCTTTATGGAGCGGCAGAGTGAAGTTTTTCATTGTTTTGTTGTACTCCCGTGTCGTCGAATCATCGCGTCAGATGTTGGCCGGAGCGATATTCGCCAGCACTGGATGCCACGGGAGTGCGGTAGACTCTAGAGAATCACTGATGGTACGAAGCGCGTTGTTAACTTCGGCATCGACAAGGTTCGCGTGAGGCTTTGTTCACCCCACTCCACAGTGGAGCGAACAAGGGCCTGCGTCGATATCTTCAACGTGCTGGCTTCCCCAGGTTGTTCCTGCAAGTTTCTGAATAATATTCACTCGTGCTTTCGTTTTACCTTTAGCTTGAGGGGGGTGATGGTAGCTTAGCATCCTATTTAGGGTAACTCCCAGATACTGAGGGTGCTTATCATGCCTTAGCTTTGCCCCGGCTGAAGTTAACGTTCAAAGTTTTCGCAGCTTTTCTCTTGTTCAGATGGAAGGCGGCGATGACGCTCTTCGATGGGTTTGGCTTAAGGCACCGATTCTTGAAGTATTCTTCCAGAGTCTTCAGATCTTTTTCGAGGGCTGGCTCAGTGAGCCATCCATTTTCCGTGCTTGGGTTGCTTATAATTTAAAACAACACATCTCGCTCTCCGCAGCAATTACAGAAACACATAGCAGAGTGCTAAATTATTCGGCTGATTCATCACAAGTAAGCTCACACGGGCTACATTCACCACCCCCCCCTCCCCCCCCGAATCACACTATTTGTCGTACTCCCATTAAATAAAACATTCAGTAAAGATGTAATCATTATGAGACCTCCTTTGCCAGAAACAAGATATAGGAATAGGTTTTACCCTTTTAACTGGCACAAAAACTGACACCTTTATTCAAGGCATCATGTTTGCAATAACCACAACACAAGCAGTCAAAATGCAAACAAAAAAGACAACTCTGATAATAATATGCACTGTCCTTGAATTTGATTGGTCCACACCCTTGAATAAAGGTGTCAGTTTTTGTGCCAGTTAAAAGGGTAAAACCTATTCCTAAAGGATGTAATCAGTTATCCCCTGTGAAGGAAATCACCAGACTTTCCACTACAACACCGGAACAAGAGGAACTAGCATCTGGACGTACCTCAAGGACTCTGTGACAGCTTGATAGCTGCTCGCTTCATGGGTCTGAAGAACATCGAGGGTGATCAGTCCCCGGTGTCGCCTTAGTTGAGTGCGGTGCCTTATTCACCCCACAGAACTTGGTCACCCTTCTGCCTGGGCCTCCCGAACCTTGTTGGTTCATTAAAAAAAAACTATCCCACTTGCCAGGTGACAGGGGAAAACATTTTGAAAAAAGAAATAGGGGCAGTAAATGAAAGAGAGAATTATATATAATTACACGGAATATTGATAACCAGGAAGTAAGAGGAAACATCGGGCCAAATTCTAAACACATCTCATAGTGGTCATCCACCGAATTGCCAGGGTCACCCAGCACAATTATTTGGTTTGTCAAAGTGTCACGCCAACGCTACGCCCTCGCCAGTGTCCTTAGACCCACCCGGAGTCCACCCAAATCTATCTCTAATCAACATTGCCTTCAGTTTAACACGCTTTCGCGACCAACGTTACCGCTAATTGAGGTTTTTTTTGGGCGATATCGCGTAAATTTAACTGTGTCGTTAAACCCGCCACCACCCGACACAGCCAGTTAGTAAGGTTTGTCACCTAAACAAAACATACCAATTAGGTACCACTTCAGCACATCGGTCTCTTGGAGAGTATACCCACATCATTTACAATTTGAGTACGACGTTTCGCCAGCAATTCCAACCAGCCTCATCACGCAACAGCGACAGTTGTGGAGAAATCATCCTGCTTCGGTCTTAAATAGAGCGATAAATGTGCTGTCATCACTTGTGAGCCAATCACGTGCGAGGACCAGGGGCGGGGTGGAGTTAATTCATATAAATTTAATCTTGATTTGAATCTTTCGTGACTGCAGGAATCCATAATATATCACGACGTTTCAATCGCAACCACAAGCGATCGTCCTCAGGCGGAAAAAAATAACCCAGTAGTAGAACTGCTGAACCAGGAAGAACACAGCGAGAGAGCTGCTACAACAAGAGGTTATAGATGTTGGCCAAGGGCAGGCATGCGGGGTACCGAGCTGGAAAGGAGTCCCGTACCCGCACGCAAGCACATCAGTTGTGGTAATGGGGGAGATTAGGGAGATAGATTAGCATGTCAAAGTAAATGAGCTTCCTTCGCCGCATAAAATTACAATGGATATAAGTTACAATGGATAACCATGGCAGATGCGGATACCCGAGGAACAATTAAAAACGCTACAATGTGCGTCTGGTCATCCAGAACAGTCCGTACAACGTATAACGATGCATTGCCCAATCCACAATATACGAAGGAGTCATCACAGCCATTCACTCTGCTACTCCTGACGCGGCTATCTGGCTTGACCATCTGAACGTGATATTATAGTTGTTGCTCTGCATCTACCTCAGGAGCCTTACGAAAGAAGAAGACTAAGGCCCCCTCACTGCCTCAATCTACTCATCACTGGCTCTCCCATTCGTGTCTAACCACCAGAAAACCTTGGATGTTTCCTACCAGACAGTCTCGTCCCTTCACCTGATGAAGGCCGCTTGTGTTGTGGCCGAAACGTCGTGAGAATATTATTGTGTTATTTTGTTTTATCAATTTATTATTTTATTCTCATTCTACGTGACTTTACCGAAAGAACCAAAGAAGATGAAACCTTGGATGTTACCCTTCATTTAACGCGCTGACCGATGCTGACAGTTGCCATAGAAAACACTCTGCCATGTAGAATCGTTGGCTGTCTTGTGGACTATTGTAACACCAGTCTTGTTCAGATATCAGATAAAAAAATATATATAAATTGCAGCGAATCCAAAATAACCTGAAAAGTACTGGCTTTGACACCAGGCACAGCCAGAATCAGAATATTTTCAGAATCATAATCCTGGAGTAATCTAATGAGCTATGAAGCTCCCATCGACCTTCAGGAGCTGTTTAAAGCTACTGCTGCTGCACTTGTGGAGCCTGGCACACGAAAACTCATGACCCCCTGTACGCCGCACCTGCGAGTTGGCAAATCGAACGATAATTGTACCCTTTTCGTGAAATCTGTGCGACGTTACAAACAATTTGATCATGACGAAGGTGCAAGGAACACTCCCCTTCCCCTGAGCCATCCCCACTCACACACGCGATCCATTCTCGATTTTAATCACGCCCTATTTTTATTTGAATCGGAACAATCGATGTTACAATCAAGCTCACTTGACCTATTCATCAGGCGCATGGAGACAGTTTTCTGATGAACTTGAAATTTACAGGAAGTTGACTGCGCAGTTTGGTTATGCATGTCTTTGTGGAGACAGTAGGGAGGGGTGGGTGAGCCACTGAAGCTGCGTGGCTTCGCAGTTGCCACATTTGGCAACTCCTCTGTCGTGCCACCACAGCTGTACAAAGCAGTCTTGATGTTTCCAAGATGGCAGCAAACTTTTATTGGCGGGGACAGTAAGCGTCGTGTTGCCTTGAAGCTGACATTTGCACGGGTTTGGTGATCCGTGTCTCTGTTGCAGATATGTGGTTGAGCAGCTCGTTCGGTTTTAACTAGCACGTGAGTTCGGTAGTGTCGATCATGTGAGAGCAAAGGCACGCTACTAAAGACTTACACCCATCTGAGACGTCAAGGCATCTCAACACCGACGGGACAAATACGTACACGTAGCAGAACGCTTTAAAAAAAAACAGGGTTAATTCGATTTAAAGCTTTCGTGACTGCAGTAATTCATATTCTTAGTTCTTTCGGTAAAGTCACGTTGAAGGGAAACAACAAAATAATAAAATATATATAAAACAATAACAAATATATATTATTATATATTTTATTATTTTGTTGTTTCCCTTCAACGTGACTTTACCGAAAGAACTAAGCATATAGGGTTAATTCGGTTACACTTTCACATTTTGTCGAACATAATGAGCAGCCTGATCCTGAACTGTGCTCACAAATCCGCACGTGCGTTTAATGTTTCGTAAAATGTTTCGTATTTATAACGTTGCTATCGATTGAGTGTCAGATGTGTGCACTTCCACTTTGCTTTCAACGTTTTCTAGCAACCAAAAGTGCCCCTTAACTTTGAACCAACCTCATAAGACGCTCGGTGCAAGTTGAAAGGCTGCGATGCATAACAGTTAATGCACGCGACAAATTCCATGAAAAGTAAGAACTCATTTGTAGGAATAAACTCCACTTGCATCATCCCTGACCACCCGACACTCAGTAGACGGTTTTGCACGGGAACTTGGGGCAGTACTGGAATTTCCAGCGGCGGTCTCTGTAGGCATGAGAATAGAAAACAAATCATTAAGATTGAACACGCACATTTATCCTTACCCCTCTGGGTAGCTGTGATAAAGAGCTTCATAGCTCATCGGATTCCTTCTCGAGTCTAAAGATTCTGATTATTGACATTCAGAGGCACGGGGACGCTCTACATTGGGATGTTTGGCCAACTCCATCACTGAGTGTGCACACCACGTGAGAGTAAAGAGTCGTGGCCATGAATGCGGCGATGGCAAGCTCAAAGCCCAGCGGCATTGGGAGACACTCGTTTGGGGCTGAGCCGACCTAAGAGAGGTTCAGATTCATCATCGCTGGCGTTGGCCGTGAGCGGGATTCGAACTCGGTCCGCCGGGTTCGTAGCGCAGCGCGCTAACCGCTGCGCCGCCGCTCATTTCCTCACAAAGATCCCCTGTATAGCCTTAACAGACTGTAAGGGGCAAGTGCTGTTAGCGAGCACCTATGAAGGCTGGCACGACACACGAGGGGGTGGGTGGCCAGCACCACGCCCGACCGCCTTTGTCACCCACGTGGCGATGCTTACACACCGCACCAGGTACTCATTGTAGGCTGAGTCGACCTAGGGGAGGCCCAGAACCGGTTCAGACAATCGTCACTGGTGTTGGCCGTGAGCGGGATTCGAACTCGGGTCGCCGGGTTTGTAGCGAAGCGTGCTCACCACTACACTACCGCTCCCCCATTACTCACTCACACAGTCTGCAGAACAGGCAGAGAACATATAAACGCAACACAAAAAGGCCGGCTAAGTGGAGAATTTGAACCCAGGCACCCGTCATGCTGTGATGCACGAACGTGACCCTGCCGCTTAATGGTCTTTAACATTGAACCCCATGGGAGCCTTTAACGTTGAGCGCCATGGAAACCTTTAACATTGAACCCCATGGGAACCTTTAACGTTGAACCCCATGGGAACCTTTAACATTGAACCCCATGGAAACCTTTAACGTTGAACACCATGGAAACCTTTAACATTGAACCCCATGGGAACCTTTAACATTGAACTCCATGGGAACCTTTAACATTGAACCCCATGGAAACCTTTAACGTTGAGCCCCATGGGAACCTTTAACATTGAGCCCCATGGAAACCTTTAACATTGAACCCCATGGGAACCTTTAACGTTGAACCCCATGGGAACCTTTAACGTTGAACCCCATGGGAACCTTTAACATTGAACTCCATGGAAACCTTTAACGTTGAACGCCATGGGAACCTTTAACATTGAACCCCATGGGAACCTTTAACGTTGAGCCCCATTGGAACCTTTAACGTTGAACTCCATGGGAACCTTTAACATTGAGCCCAATGGGAACCTTTAACATTGAACCCCATGGGAACCTTTAACGTTGAACTCCATGGGAACCTTTAACATTGAGCCCAATGGGAACCTTTAACATTGAACACCATGGAAACCTTTAACATTGAACACCATGGGAACCTTTAACATTGAACCCCATGGAAACCTTTAACGTTGAACGCCATGGGAACCTTTAACATTGAGCCCCATGGGAACCTTTAACATTGAACCCCATGGGAACCTTTAACGTTGAGCCCCATGGGAACCTTTAACATTGAACCCCATGGGAACCTTTAACATTGAGCCCCATGGGAACCTTTAACATTGAACCCCATGGGAACCTTTAACATTGAACCCCATGGAAACCTTTAACATTGAACCCCATGGAAACCTTTAACGTTGAACCCCATGGGAACCTTTAACATTGAACCCCATGGAAACCTTTAACGTTGAACCCCATGGGAACCTTTAACATTGAACCCCATGGAAACCTTTAACGTTGAACCCCATGGGAACCTTTAACATTGAGCCCCATGGGAACCTTTAACGTTGAACCCCATGGGAACCTTTAACGTTGAACCCCATGGAAACCTTTAACATTGAACTCCATGGAAACCTTTAACGTTGAGCCCCATGGGAACTTTTAACGTTGAACTCCATGGGAACCTTTAACGTTGAGCCCCATGGGAACCTTTAACATTGAACCCCATGGAAACCTTTAACGTTGAACCCCATGGGAACCTTTAACATTGAGCCCCATGGAAACCTTTAACATTGAACGCCACGGGCGATGGATGCACTCACTCGGCGTCGTTGCAGTGGTAGCTGTGCACCCCCGTCAGGTAATTGAAGTCCGGGGCGACCCAGAAGAGCAGCGAGTGGAAGTCGTTGAGGTAGTCGGTCCACTGGCACGCATCCGTGCAGATGCCGGCCTGCATGGTGCAGGTGAACTTCCATCTGTCAAGGTCACGATCGCCAATAAAGACTTCGGCTTTACCCTTTCCAGCAATAACACAGCAGGCGTGAGGCGTTCAAACACCGAATAGACACACCCATTATTGCAAGGCATCATCGACTCTGCATTCACCATACATCACGCTTGTGGTAAAATATACAAACACGCATGGCCTTGTCTCTGCACCAGTATTGGACCAGAGAACAGCGCCAAATGTGAACGGTACATGGGCAAAGCGGACACGTGCTATGGTCATAACGTATGGATTAAATCTTGACTTAAAGCTTTCGTGACTGCAGGAATTCTTTGGGTCTTTCGGTGAAGTCACGTAGATAGGTTCTAAGAAAAAATAAGAAAATAACCAAAAAAAATAATTGGTGGAAAGCCCAGCACCACTGCCGCGGTAGCTGCCCACCACTTGCATTGGCTGCTGACATTTGGGCGATGCCCATCTCAAACCTTTATAAGCAATCTTGATTTGAAGCTTTCGTAACTGCAGGAATCCATACTCTTTGGTTCTTTCGGTAAAGTCACGTAGGTAGAAAAAAATAATAGATCACAAAGTTTCGATCGCCACACAAGCAATCGTCCTCACGTGGGAGAGAGAAAACAGGCTGCTGAAACAGGTCCTTATATATAGAGAGAGAGACGGGAGGGGGAGAGGGGGGGTTGCCGCATCGGGCAAGAGGATGGGGGCTAGAGATTGTGCCTGAGTGAGTGAGAAATACAAAGATGGTAACCGATATAGGGGGGGAAGGGGGCGATGACCTCCACGATGACGACGAGCTGAGGATGTGGCCATTGTATTGTGAGAGATTAGCATGTCAATGTAAATTCACCAACACAACTGCGGCTGAGCTAGTGAGACATCCAGCTTGTTATAAAACAAGGGGAACAACAGAGGGATAAACCACATCGAGGGAAGGAGAGAGAGACACACACACACCGAGAGGCACACCCACGCACACAGAGAGACACACACAGTACACAGAGAGAGACACACAGACAGAGAAAGACAGAGAGAGAGACACACACACAGACACATTGAGAGAGACACACACCTAGAGAGACACACAGAGAGACACACACACACAGAGGGACACACCCAGAGAGAGAGATACACACGGAAAGACACACTCACACACAGACAGATACAACAACAACCGCCATTCGCCACTAAGTGGCGGTGACGTCACCACGACGCTTGTGCCAGGCTATGTGCACCCTGAGGCCACGTGAAGTGTCGAACGCCCGCTGGCAGGAGGTCACGGGGCAGACCCAGGTGCCACGGGTCGACTGACTGAGATGACTGGCTGATGCACCACCTGTGCCCCCTACTGTGCCAACCTGCTGTGCTTTAGCCACCTGGCGCTCCGCTCGTTGTTGTGAGCGTCGCTCCTCTGCCCTCCGTTGTTGTTGGAGGGCGACTACCTCCAACTGCCCAGTAGCATCCTTCACGAGCCTCCTCCACAGAGGCCGATCTTGACACCGCTGGTACCAGTCATCGGCAAGTCCACTCAGCTCCACGTCCTCCTGTACCACATCACTCCATCTCCTCTCTAGCCCATGCCACGCCCGTTTAGCCCCCTCTATCCGGCCAAACAAAAGCTGTTTAGGCATGCGGTGGCTGGGCATGCGGGCTACATGACCCAGCCAACGCAGCCTTGCCTGCCGGAGGAGCTCACCGATGGGACTTTGCCCAGGTCTTTCAAGGATTTGTGAGCTCCTCACACAATCCAGCCTGATTAAACCCAGGATGGATCGTAGGCAGGCCAGCCTAAATGTTTCCAATCGGCAAAGATGCTCCATTAGGGGGGTCCACGTTTTGCAAGCATAGAGAAGGGAAGGAATGACCTTGGCCGAGAAGACTTGAAGCTTCGTGCGGAGCGACAGACCAGGTACAGTGAGGGAAAAAAAGTATTTGATCCCCTGGTGATTTTGTACGTTTGTCCACTGACAAAGAAATGATCAGTCTATAATTTTAATGGTAGATTTATTTGAACAGTGAGAGACAGAATAACAACAACAAAATCCAGATAAACGCATGTCAAAAATGTTATAAATTGATTTGCATTTTAATTAGGGAAATAAGTATTTGACCCCCTCTCAATCAGAAAGATTTCTGGCTCCCAGGTGCCTTTAATACAGCTAACGAGCTGAGATTAGGAGCACACTCTTAAAGGGAGTGCTCCTAATCTCAGCTTGTTACCTGTATAAAAGGCACCTGTCCACAGAAGCAATCAATCAATCAGATTCCAAACTCTCCACCATGGCCAAGACCAAAAAGCTCTCCAAGGATGTCAGGGACAAGATTGTAGACCTACACAAGGCTGGAATGGGCTACAAGACCATTGCCAAGCAGCTTGGTGAGAAGGTGACAACAGTTGGTGCGATTATTCGCAAATGGAAGAAACACAATCTCTCTCTGCCTGGGGCTCCATGCAAGATCTCACTCGTGGAGTTGCAATGATCATCAGAACGGTGAGGAATCAGCCCAGAACTACACAGGAGGATCTTGTCAATGATCTTAAGGCAGCTGGGACCATAGTCACCAAGAAAACAATTGGTAACACACTACGCCGTGAAGGACTGAAATCCTGCAGCGCCCGCAAGATCCCCCTGCTCAAGAAAGCACATATATACATGCCCGTCTGAAGTTTGCCAATGAACATCTGAATGATTCAGAGGACAACTGGGTGAAAGTGTTGTGGTCAGATGAGACCAAAATGGAGCTCTTTGGCATCAACTGAACTCGCCGTGTTTGGAGGAGGAGGAATGCTGCCTATGACCCCAAGAACACCATCGCCACCGTCAAACATGGAGGTGGAACATTATGCTTTGGGGGTGTTTTTCTGCTAAGGGGACAGGACAACTTCACCGCATCAAAGGAACGATGGACGGGGCCATGTGCCGTCAAATCTTGGGTGAGAACCTCCTTCCCTCAGCCAGGGCATTGAAAATGGGTCGTGGATGAGTATTCTAGCATGACAATGACCCAAAACACACGGCCAAGGCAACAAAGGAGTGGCTCAAGAAGAAGCACATTTAGGTCCTGGAGTGGCCTAGCCAGTCTCCAGACCTTAATCCCATAGAAAATCTGTGGAAGGAGCTGAAGGTTCGAGTTGCCAAACGTCAGCCTCGAAACCTTAATGACTTGGAGAATATCTGCAAAGAGGAGTGGCACAAAATCCCTCCTGAGATGTGTGCAAACCTGGTGGCCAACTACAAGAAACGTCTGACCTCTGTGATTGCCAACAAGGGTTTTGCCACCAAGTACTAAGTCATGTTTTGCAGAGGGGTCAAATACTTATTTCCTTCATTAAAATGCAAATAAATTTATAACATTTTTGACATGCGTTTTTCTGGATTTTTGTTATTATTCTGTCTCTCACTGTTGAAATAAACCTACCATTAAAATTATAGACTGATCATATCTTTGTCAGTGGGCAAACGTACAAAATCAGCAGGGGATCAAATACTTTTTTCCCTCACTGTAGCTTGCACACAGCGTTACGCAACCGATGAAAATATAATGCCACTCGTCTAATTCTGAGTGAGACCTCTGCTGTCAAACGGGAGCCGGTCATGAACACACTGCCCAGGTATGGAAAACTCTCCACTCTCTCCACAACTGCCCCACCACCAATTGGGAGTTGTGGGGGTGGAGTGCCCGATGGTACAAGATACCCAGGCAGGTGCTTAGTTTTGGTGGGGCTGATGGTAAGGCCCCACCTCTTAGTGGTACGCTCCAGGTTCAGCAGCAGCACCTCCAACTCCTCCTCTGAGTGAGCGGCAATTACCAGATCATCGGCATACATAACGTGGTTGACCAATAGGGAGCCATCCCTTGACCGATCCCGGGCATCGATCAGCCTCCCATTATATCTGTAACAGATGGAAATTACTCTGGTAAAGCCATCGAATGCTTCACGAACTACGTGGTCGAAAAATTTGCGAAATAATGTGGGAGCCAGAGGACATCCCTGTCGCACCCCGAGGTGAACAGGGAATGGCTCCGACTTACGTAGTTTTACCCGGGCCCGCTCACCATCATGAAGGTCCTTAATGATCGTGAGCAGAGGGTCAGGGACTCCGAAAGCACGACGAACAACCCAGAGCCCAGGCCTACTTATGGTATCATAGGCCTTGACCAGGTCAAAAAAGCAGGGATGTAGGTCTTGTTGGAATTCCCTACACCTCTGCTGTAGCAAACAAACAGAAAATATGGCATCGGTGCAAGACCGCCCTTTCCTGAAACCGCATTGGGGCTCCGCAAGCCTCTCCTCAGTGTGCCTGGCAAAGCGATGTTGAATAATCCTTGCCAGGACCTTTCCCTGCACACTGAGGAGTGAGATGCCCCTGTAGTTGTTACAGTCTCTTTAAGAAGGGGGACCACAAGGCCATCCTTCCAATCCTGCGGAACCCGTCCAGTGGTCCAGACTATTGTTATGATGTCATGTAGGGCAGTCTGCGCACAAACGCCACCCTCCCTCAGCATTTCGCTTTGGAGATCATCTCTGCCCTGTGCCTTTCCTGGTCTCAGACTCTGGATCGCCATTAGTACTTCCTCAACAGATGTCACCTCAACCAGCCACTCACAGGGGGTGACTTCTTCTTCCAATATTTGAGGCACCGCAGCCTCAGCAGGGTCATCCCCACTTTGTCCCACGATGTTTTCCATGTCGAAGGATTTCCCCTCCCCCAGGACTTCACAGAAATGCTCAGCAAATCTGCAAACCTGTTCCTGGGGGTCGGAGATTTGATCACCGTTTTTCCCCTAATGATGGTAATAGGTGTGGCACTGCAGGTTACTTTTTTGATGAAGTTAAATATGGATTTGTGATCGCGGGCCATTGAGGCAGACTCACGGCTCTCCGAACCTCCGAGCGAAGGCTGCGGTAAGGGTCCTCATTCTCTGACGTGGGATGCTGTAGACGATTAGAGTGGGCCTGTCACTTTTTCTCAGCCATCCTGAACACCTCCTCTGTCAGCCAGGGTCTCT